TTTTATCTTTACTAATATTTTTCTTATGGTTTTGGGTCACTCTTTTTTTTCAACCTTGAGAACACCATTGGGCCCACCACCCAAATTGTGCAGCTCTGCAACTGCATCCCTGCCCATCCTCACCTTTCTGCCCCCAACCCTCACCTCCTTGTACCCCCATTATGTTTTTCCCAATTAAAAAAAAGAAAAAAATACCACCATTTGGGGGGGTATGTACTTTAATGTACACTTGTACATCAATGACGACCAAGTGGATTCTCTAAACCCCTCCCTGTTTTCAGAAGGACTGTATAGAAACTGTGTCAAGGATGTGACATTATTAGTTTATAGGAGGATCGAGTTGGGGTAAGGACTCCCCAGCAGCTGAGAGTCTCTCTGTCCTAGTGCTGGTGCTGGTGGTCCAAGGGGCTCTTATTCTTTGGAAGCCATGTGAGCCATCAGGCCAACCACCTAGTTGCTGTAGCCAAATTCATTGTCATACCAGGAAACGAGTTTGACATTGTTAAGCACAATGCCAGCCCAGCATGAAAGGTGGAACAGTAGATGTCACTGTTAAAGTCACAGGAGACAACCTGTTCTTCAGTGTGTCCCAGGATGCCTTCTAGAGGCCTTTTTGACGCCTGCTTTACTACTTTATTGATGTCCTCATATTTGACAGCTTTCTCCAGATGGCAGATCAGGTCAGATCCACTCAGGACTGAAACGTGGGTGAGGGTCACGAAAAGCCATGCCCAGTAAGATGATCTTGCCCACAGCCTTGAGCAGTGCCAATAGATGCAGTGATGGCATAGACAGTGGTCATGAATTTCTCTATGATGCTAAACTTGTCATGCATGACTTTGCCCAGGAGGCCAAGCAATTGGTGGTAAAAGAGGCATTGCTGACAATGGTTCATGCCCATCACAAACATGGGAGCATTGACAGAAGAAGCAGACAATCAGGTGTTGTGAAGACACCAGTCAGCTCCACAATATACTCAACACTTGCTTCACCCCAGTTGATGTTGGCAGGAACTCTTTGCTGTTGATGACAGGCTTCCCATTTTCAGTCTTGATAATACCATAGAACTGGTCATGGGTGGAATCAATAGACCATGTAGTTGAGGTCAGTGAATGGGTCGTTAATGGTAACAGCATCCACCTTGCCAGAGTTAAAAGCAACCCTGGTGACCAGGCATCCAATTCAGCCAAATCCCTTTACTCTGACCTTCACCATTGTGTGTCAGGGATGCACCTGAGGCTCTGTATTGAGGAGTAGAGAATCTCTTCAGAATCTACTGATATCATGCAGGGCCATGGGTCCAAAAATGTAGTAACTTTATAAATCTGATTTCCCCATTAAAATTGTTGTTACTTGAGAAAGGTTGTAATTAACCATTTAGTGACTTTCTTAAACTGTATTTGCAGAGCATGTATTCCATTTAAAGTTTCCTCTGGCCTAGTGATACAGAGTTATGCTGCCAAACCAAAGATATGCTGCTGCTCCTGGGCAGAAAAATAGTGTCCTATGTGATTTACAACCTCTAAAAAATCCACTGGAGTCTCAGCTACGAGTTAGTTCTGACTTGATGACATATATAACAACAGCAGCATATTCCAATCATGTCATCGAAGTCTGTCTTCTCTGCACTCAGTCATACAAACTTCACAGAAAGATGGATAAGCCCTTAAAACTGTTGATGCCAGAGGACCAAGCTCAATTTTCTGAACTTCTCCATTGGGGACCATCAGGCTTCCCAACTATGAAAACCTACAACAGATAGCCACTTTAGGAATGAGGCTATATCCACACGTCTATGATTACATTTATATATGTGGAGTTACCGTTCATTTGCACATTTTGGCTTCCCAAAAAAAGTTTAGCTACATTATTTTTTTTTCCCTTTGGTTGATGATATAAGTGTGAGATTCCAGAATTCCTTTAAATGTTGTTTTGGCACATGGACTAGCCTCTTAAACATCCTGTTCCATCATTTTGACCGGGAAATGGCTATTCAAGAGCACATTCTGTGTGCTACGGATAATAAGTGCTTCTGGGTTTACTTCTATGCATTTTCACTAGACAGAACTCGAAATATTAAAAATGTTTATTGGAAATTTTTTTAAATAAAATTTTTATTTTATACTGGTTTCTTTACAACGTTCATTTACATTGTTTTTCACATCAGATCTTTCCTATTTCCTTTACCCACCCCTCCACCCATCTATTGGAAATTTTAAAAATGAGTGTTTAGAGAAACTGCTTCTATTGTTTTATTCTATTATTTTTTTCCTAAATAGAAATATTATTATACAGTTTTACAAAATGTGATATTATAACAAAAATAATTTATTCTCTTCAATCTAATTATAAGCTCAGGAAGTCTAGGGTTGGTCATTGTACATTCTTGCTTAGCAGATAGACATTTAACATATTTGAGTATGAATTAAACTTGATGTTGTAAGTAAACTTAAATCATAGGTGGGCTACATTGAGTGTTTAATCTATGGTAGCTTATTTTTAAATGACTTTATAATTTTCCAAGTTTAAAATACCCTCAATTTCCCCCATCCCTTTTTTTTATAGAATTGAGGAAGATGCTCCAGCTCCTTCTACCTCTACAGATAAGGTGGAGAGGTAAGATTGTCTAAATGGAAAAATTAGATTCACATATGAAATACAAAAACTGTATGCCTTGATGATAGTTGGTCTAATTTTTTAAATTATACTAGTTTATTAACAGAATTCAAATAGTCTCATTTTTAATGTTTTTTTTTTGCACACAACTAAAACATTAAAATTAATCTAGGTGAGTTATCTATCTTTATGATTGGAATATAAAATTTTGAAACAGAGAAGACTTATAGTTTAAAATACGACCTTTGTGATAGAAGGGGATCACCTGATGTACCATCCTTATACTTCCCAACATACAAGAGCCTGTTGTGGCAGTCAGCCTGGTTGAAGGTCTTCCTCTCCTTCACTGACCCTCTACCCTTTGTAACATCATGGCCTTCTCCTAGGAATAGCCCCTCCTAGCAACATGTCCAAAGTATATGAGGCAAAGCCTCATCATCCTTGCCTCAAAAGAGAACTCTGGCTGCACCCTCTCCAAGACATACCTATTTGTTCCCTTGGCCAGCCATTTAAACCTGTGTCGCAATATTGAAAGGTGCTATAAGCAACATACTGAATGACCCAGAAAACAGATGGAGGGAATACACAGAATTACTATACCAGAAAGAACTGATCAACACTGAAAAATTTCAGGAAGTACCATATGAACAGGATCCAGGGTAGGAAGCTGACGTGTCATTGAAGGCATTGACAAAAAATAAGGTCCCAGGAAGTAATGTGATACCGATTTTCCAGTTAACAGATGCAACACTGGATGCGCTCACCAGTGTGTGCCAGAAAATTTGGAGGATAACTGTCTCATCAATAGATTGGCAAAGGGTTCTCATTTCCTAAGAAAAGTGATCCAACTGAATGTGGAAATTATCGAACAATATGATTAATAATCACATGCAGTCAAAGTACTGCTGAAGATCATTTAAAATGGCTGGAACAATACCAAGATAGGGAACTGCCAGAAGTTCAAACAGGATTTAGAAGAGGCCATGGTACCAGGGCTGTTATTGCTGATGTCAGATGGATCCCAGCTGAGAGTAAGGAATATCAGAAGAGTGTCTGTTTCTGCTTTATTAACTGTGCAAAGGCATTTGACAATGTGGAGCATAACAAGGTGTAGCTGACATTGAGAAGAATGGGAATCCCAGAGCACGTAATTTTGCCCATGTGGAACCTATACCAGGACCAGGAGGCTATTGGGCAAATGGAGCAGGGGAATACTTCATGGTTTAAAATTGAGAAGAGAGTGCAAGCAGGCTTGTATTCTCTGCATATGCATATAACTGCATATATATATCTGCTTTAGAGTGATGAGCTTAATAGACTGGTTCTGACACTCCTACTATTATTTCCTTGATACAGTGACAAAATGGAAGTATGGATTAAACACATACTAGGTATGATGTTTGACAGACGTTTTCTCCAAATTGAGTATAATAACTTCAGTGACTGATACTATCTGTTCTCTGGAAAATTTTTACAAAGTTTTTTTGGAGAAATACTGAACATTGTGAACTTGAGATAGTACTTCCATATTTATGTCTCTCTTCTTGGTGAAATTGATATTTAATGTAGTTTTGAGAGAAGATGATTTATAAGCCAGAATAAGGAATATTTGTATAAATTGAACAGGTATTTTCCAAGTGACTGCTATGTATTCTCAGGAGTAGGAAATTTATTCTGAATATGTGACATGTTAACTTTTTTAAAAAACTTTTTAATGTAAAAAACAATTTGAAAAATTATCTATTGGTTTCAGGGTTTGAAAGTTTTTGTCAGTTCTTTCAGCTTGATAAATGACCAGATTTTTTACTTTCTAACTCCCAATTCTGTGTTTGCATATTTTGTTGTAATATTTTGTCATTTTAAGCCGTATTTTAAAATCTTACCTTTCTAGTTTATCATTCTTTACTTTCGTTATTGTCAATTCTGGGAGCAAGTATCAATCTCTTCTGACATCCACTTTGGTCTTTCTCTCATGGAGAATGTCTTTAAATTGAGATTATATAAACTCTTTGTCATTATTTGCTTATTTCCAATGAATGGTTATACAAATTCAGTCATGTGATCTCTGGCCTTATGTCTATAACTAAGGTCATATTTTGTGGGTACTATTTTTTCAAACGTGTGCATTCCACTCACCAGTTATTACTGCATTTGATTGCATGTTCACTCTGTTTGGGTTTGCAAAAGAAGTTGAGACTGAAGGCATTGACCAAAAAACAATGTTCAAATATTGGTAGAATACAAGTTGAAGTGTTTTTCAGTAAGCAGAAATAACCCTGGATGTATTCACCATTTAATGGCAAGAAATTTGAAAGACTGCTACCTAGCCAACTGACTAGGAGAGTGCTATATTTGTTCCCACTCAAAAACTAGATAATCTGGGAGCTCTGGTGGCACACAGTTCAAATCAACCAGATGCTCTGCTGGAGAAGGAGGGGCAGTCTCCTACTGTGTCAGTTGGATCTTAACAGTATACAACAAGAAAAACCAACACAACAAAAAGTAGATAATCCAACAATGCAGAAATTAATGTACAATATTGTTTATATCGCACAAGTATAATCTTGACGATTAAGAAACAGCTAGGACATTACATGGATAAGGAATTTTAAATTCTTGATGAAGACTGTTGAATATGATTTATTAATTTATGAATATGACATTGAATTTTGATACTGGGAATTGTGGAAAGAACAAACAAATTTGTGGAATGAGTACAACCAGTGGTGTGCTTGGTTTTTGTTTGTTTTAAATTTGTGTGTGTGTGTACCGTTAAATTAGATCTGACTGTTACAGGGGGAGATTGTCCCTCTTTCTCCATCAGAGCATCTGGTGGATTTGAACCACGTACCTCTGGGATTGCAGTGCAGCTTCTTGCCACTAGAGCTTACCACAACCAGTGGCTTTTAGAGGCCAGGATAGTCAAATTTTGTGTCACATATTTGGAATATTGTCTGCAGTTTTCGTCAGTCCTTGGAAAAAGTTGAGGGTCAGTGAAAGGACAGGACTCAAGAGGTGCATTGCCACAATGAGTACCACAGTGGGCTTGAGTATGGCAAAAGTTGTATAGATACTGGACCAGGATAAGGCAAGGTTTTGATCTAGTGTTTATAGGATCAACTGTGAGTTGTAGTTGACGGACTTAACATCATCATAGGCATGAAGACACAAAGAAGGAACTTCCTGTAGAACTGTAGAACTTTATGGAGAGAGGTTGGCCTTTGTGACACTACATTCAAACTTCTGGCTTCCAGAATTATGAGAATAAATTCTGTTAAGCCACACAATTTGTGATACGTAATTAACAGCAGCCTATGGAAACCAATAAAATATGTAACCTTTAAAGATACATTAACAAATATTAAGTGTGATTTTGCGTTCTACTGTACACATGATAGTAATCCTAGGTGCCACTTAAATATGCAATAGAGCTTCAGGGGTGAATATGATCAAAAAAGTTGACAACTGCTTATCTTCATTTAAGGACAGTATCTCTCTTCTTGTTCATGAATCTCATCTCCATCTCAAAAATGAAGCCCAGTTCTTTATTCAGCTTAATGATACCCTTCTCTTTACGTCTACTCAATATTATTTCCATTAACCGTTCAATATTGAGTTCCATATATATTTCTTAACTGTTTTCTTAACTTGTTTTTCCCTGTTTTAGATTGCAAAACATCAGAGTTGCTTTTTTCCCCCCACATTTTAACAAGTAGAAAATGTTATTTTATAACTGAGTATGTTATGCACTCTAACCTTTATTTTTTTTTGTTTTTATTTTTTTTTTGTTATGACATTTTGACAATCAGTTGCTTTTAATTTTATTTCTATCAGTTTTTCTAAAATGGTCTTCCAGTCCTCAATACCATCCTTACTCCTTTACTTAGTAGTCTCTGCCTTCTAAGCTAACCTTTCTAGTAGTGTTTAGCTCTATTTATCACTCATCCTCTCTTGTCTCTAAACTTTTGAAAGCTCCTTAGACTAATTTTTAGGGCCTTTTATTTATCAGTACCCAATTTTTAGGTCATGTTCCCCAGTGCAAACTTATCTTTTTAATCACATGACTCCCCATCTGTGTCTTTAGACAGACCTATCTCTTGAACCTCTCTACCTCAACATCTTAAAATAATGTGACTTTAGGATTGTTGGTTGACTCAGCAACAACTTATGTTATTCAGATGACACCTTGCTTGCTGAAACTGAGGAGGACCTAAAGCGGTTGCTGCAGAAGGTTAAGACAATGATTCTCACTACTACTGGTTCAGTTGGCAGCACCGTGATGGATGGAGAAGAGATTGAGATTCTTAACAATTACAACTTGCCCAGGTTCACAATGAACCACTCTTGTTACCAGCAGATAGGAAATCAGAAGACAAGTTGTGTTGGGAAAATTGGCTCTCCAGAGTACTGGAGAACAATGATGTCAGTCTACAGACTATAGTTTGCCTATTCCAGACCATCAGAGAGTTGGACAGTGACTAAAGATGATAGAAGAATTGATGCCTTAAAGTTATGATACAGGGAAGAGTCAAGAAAACAAATAGGTCCGTCTTGGAAAGGGTTAAACCAAGTTTCTCCTTGGAGGCTTGGATTTTGAAGCTTCTTCTCACATACTTTGGGCACATGGCCAGGAGGGACTGGTCCTTGGAGAAGGACATCATTCTTGGAAGAGTAGAGGGACAACGCAATAGATGAGGACCTTGGATGAGATAGATTGATACAGTTAACTGGGACAATGGGGGTGGTGTGAGAATCATTGAGACTGGCTCTGGACAGGGCAGGCTTCAGAGCTGCTGTACATAGGATCTCTGTGGGTCACAGGCAACTCAAAGGCACCTAACAGCATCAATACTACATGAAGGGAGTTTTGGCTGCAATCCCAAAGGACATGGTTCTAATCCAACAGTTGCTTCTTGGGAGAAGGATAGGTAATCTCCTCCTGTACGATTAATTGCTTCTGAAAACCCACTGTAGGGTCCACTGTGGGTTGGTTCCAACTCGACAGGACATAATAAGAATACTAAATAACTGATTCGTCTTTTTTACCTACTTTTCTCTCGGTTGACTTTACCTCAGTAAATCTAAAATTGTTAATCACATATCCTATATTTGAGTCTGTCGTGTGAATTCTGAGGAGCCCCGGTGGCATTGAGGTAAGGAGTTGTCCTGCCAACCCAAAGGCAGACTATTTTCAGCCTCTGAAAGCCCAGTAGGGGCAGGGGGGTGGGGTCAGCAATGAGTTGGTTTAGACTGCACAGTACTTGTAGTAAGAGTGAGATGCTAATTCTGCAGTTTTATAAATAAACTTGGGGAAAGTTGTGTAACCTCTCCTACATTTTTTTCCAATCTGTAAAATGGGAAGTAATATTTTAATAGTTTGAGCTGATAACCAGATGCCATGATGATGTGTTGGACTTATCACTGAAAAGTTGATTCGATGGAGGAACTTGCAGATTGTTTCAAACCCAAAAATGTGTTTCTGCTTATTTAATTACCTCAGAACACACTACCCTGTACCCTTTAATAATTTCCTGTAAGCCCCCCCTTTTCTAGGCATCTATTAATCTGCTTTCTATTTGTAGATTTGCCTATTCTGGATATTTTTGATAGTAGGAATTGTAAAATGTTGTGTGTCTGCTTGCGATCAGTAAAATATTTCCAAGATTCTTTTAGGTTGTAACATGTTCTAGTACTTAATTCATTTTTTATACCTTAATGTGGAAGACCTCCAGTAAGATAGATTGACACAGTAACTGTAACAGTGGGCTTGAACATTTAATATGTTTATATTGCATATTTGATTAGCCATTCATCTTTTGAGGGTATTGGAGTTATTGCAACTTTAGCTATTCTAAATAATCCTGTTACAACCATTTATGAACAAAGTGTTTAAATATTTGGTTTTGGGGGGAAATAAATATTTGGTTTTTACTTCTTTGAGGCATCGTCTGTGCTTAGGAATGGAATTACTGGTTAGTGGTAATGTTTAAATTAGTAGGAAATTGTTAAACTGTTAAACTTCACCACATACACTTACCATTAATGTAGGGAGGTAGCTCTGGCTCTGTGGAGCAACAGATCTAGTTCAGCTTTGTCTCATGTTGGTCTTTGGTTCTTCACCCCTTTTGGTGCTGGTTGTTGGTGGTATTTGGGTTGAGTACTGGCTAGTTCTGTCTTGAGGGTGTGGTATGTATGTATATATAATAATCCTGTAGACTACTTCTCTGGGCCTTTGGTTTCTTTCTCTATTGTTTCACAGAGGTAGAAATAAATAATTGTATCTTAGATGTAAAGATTAAATATAAACAATTAACATGGTTACCATAATCATGTATTTTAAAAATAAAGGCATTGGCAGAGAAACCATAGCTCTGTTGTGGCCCAAACCATGTCAGTTTTCTACATAAATTTTCAGATCAGTTTATCAGTGCAAAATGTCCTCAAATTCTTAGGGGAAATGGTTTTCATTGCCCCTCTAAGGTACCAGCCACCTGCCCTAGGAATATAATGCTACTGATAACTTAGCCCTG